TTTAAGATCTAAAATTTAAGAAAACATTTTTTTGCTACACATTATATTTAATGGGTGCAGAAGCAGTGATTTTAATTATTAAAAATAAATCCTTAAGTCATGGAAAAATTATGGAAATTCAATGTGAGAGCCCTATAGAGACAAACTATGTTGGATTGTGCCATATACAAATCTCTTGTCTCTTATGATTATAGTGAGTGATTCAAATGTTCAGGTTTCTTTTTGTGATGGCTACAAATTTAAATCAAAGGTCAGACTATAATAATTAAATTTCAGTTTCAACCATGTATTATATTGCAGTTTTATATAAAATCACCAGCCATTGGCGAGTAGTTCCATGTGATTTAGTTTTGGAATCTGTCTAGAACTGAACTCTGACATTCATCACGCAGGGAGAGACTGAAGCAGAGAAAGCTGAAAAGCCTGAAGAGAAAGCAAATGGTGAGAAAGCAGAAGAGGAGGCAGACAAGAAACCCAAACCACAGAAAAAGAGCAAAATATCAGAAGACATCACAGTGGAGCTTGAGGTGAACGATGTTCTCATTCCCAGCACAGAGGACCTTGAAGTGTCCAAAAAGAAGTAAGTGTCTCTTGCTTCTAAGAATTAATTACCGTAACGGAGAATGAATTAACAGAGTGGGAAATAGGACAGACTGTAGTAACTGAAGAATCTCTAAAGAATTACCGTGTGTTCCTCCCTCATATCAGGCTGCAGGACCTCACTGACCGCGATTTGGAGAAGCAGGAGAGAGAAAAGACCCTGAACAGCCTGGAGGCTTTTATCTTTGAGACACAGGTATAATGAATCTCTCTGCAGCCCTTCCCAGTGTTTGAGCAGTGACTCATAGATCCAGTGGCGTGACCATGACGGAACTGTCTTTGTCCAAGTCTAAAAAGCTTTATTTGCAGAGCTTGAGGAGAAAACTGTACTGGGCTTAAGGCTTTTTGATGGAGCATTGTGGAAAATGTTTTTTACAGCAAAATAGTTTGTTAATTATTTCTTTGAATTTACAAAACATCTAGTTATTTTTTTTTCTCTCTCTCTCCATCTAGGATAAGCTGTATCAGGATGAGTATCTGGCTGTGGTGACGGAGGAGGAGAAGGAGCAGATCACAGGCAAGTTGAGCGAGGCCTCTAACTGGATGGATGAGGAAGGATATTCCGCTGGTACAAAGGAGCTGAAGGAAAAGCTGTCTGAACTGAGAAAGCTTTGTAAAGCCATGTTCTTCAGAGTGGAGGAGAGGAAGAAATGGCCCGACAGACTGGCAGCTCTCAACAGCATGCTCAACCACTCCACCATCTTCCTCAAGTGAGTGAGAGCTGCATAATATTTTTAAATAAATGTAAGAATGGTATTTTCATTTTTTTTAAATGTATTAATTTATTTGTAAAAATCTAAATATTTGTTTAAAATGTGAATAAAATAATGTATTTTTAGAAAATAAACATTTTTTTAATTATGTAATCTATTTAAAGAATGTATTTATAGAAATATACATGCATGTATATTTCTATAAATACATTCTTTAAATAGATTACATAATTAAAAAAATGTTTATTTTCTAAAAATACATTATTTTATTCACATTTTAAACAAATATTTAGATTTTTACAAATAAATTAATACGTTTAAAATGTGAATAAAATAATGTATTTTTAGAAAATAAACATTTTTTTAATTATGTAATCTATTTAAAGAATGTATTTATAGAAATATACATGCATGTATATTTAAATGTATAAAAGAGATTTAAAAATATTTATGTGTATATATTTTTATTAAGTTATATTTGTTAAATGTAATTCATTTTAAAAAAATCAAAATATTTAAATTAAATACACATAATGTAATCTCTCTCTCTCTCTCTCTCTCTCTCTCTCTCTCTCTCTCTATATATATATATATATATATATATATATATATATTTTAAATGTATATTCAGATAAATATATTTATTATTTCAAAAAATGTATTTTTATAAGTTTAAATTTTAAAATTATTTTTAAAATTAATTTAAATATATAAATTTGCTTAAATGTAAACACTTACAAAAAATAATATATCATATTTTATGTATTTAAACTTTATTTAAAAAAATGTTTTGGGAAGAGTCCTCGGACTCTTGTGGGCAGTGCAGTTTTGAGTTCAGTCAGCAACATGTTCAAATAAAAGAAAACAACTCTGTAACTTGCACGGCCCTTTGTTCACAGGAGTGCTAGACTGATTCCTGAGGGTGACCAGATCTTCACAGAGGTTGAATTGAAGACACTAGAGAGGGTCATCAATGAGACAATGGTATGTAATAGCTTTATTTCCCTCTCTCATTCCCATTGATTTCGTCGTTCCCTCGACTTCAAGTGAATTCCGCTCAGTAAACCCTTTGGATGCACTGCAAATTTTGATTTTTGTTTTTGTTGCAGACATGGAAGAATGAGACTGTTGCTGAACAGGAGAAATTGTCCCCAACAGAGAAACCTGTTCTGCTCTCAAAGGACATTGAAGCTAAGCTGACCCTATTAGACAGGGAGGTCAACTACCTGCTGAACAAAGCAAAGTTTGCCAAACCGAAACCTAAAGAGAAGTCTAAAGACAAGAACAACACCTCCACAGAGAACAACAAAGCTAACAGCACAGAAGATGCAGAGAAGGTTATTCCTCCCAACAGCGATGATGGTGAGACACCATTTTATTTTGGCATACATTTATTTTGAAAATAAAATGACCACTTTTATCTGTTAATGTGGAGTAAATCTGCTGTTTAAATTGTGTTTTTAGCTGAAAAGGTGAAGCCAGCAGAGGAGCCTCCAACTGAAGAAAAAGAGGAAGAAACCATACCTGAACTAAATCCAGCGGAAAAAACGGATGATATAGGTAATTCTCAGTCCACTAACTAGAGCTGCATGATAAATTGCTAAAAGATTGCGATCTTGATTCACACACTCACAATCTTATTCCTAAATGACAATGATTCAGCTAGATGTCTATTAAACCTCTGACAAGTACGATCACAGTGAATATTCAAATCTGTGTTGGCGCTGCTGCTGACCCATATAGTGTTGGTATGAAACGGCTTCACAAACAGTCCTTTTTCAACCACACAGTTTCGTTATTTCTGTGGTAGACTAATTCAAATGATCACACAAGTACTGGGAAAAAAGTTCAGATGAAAAGAATGTCTATGGTAGCGATCCAAAGAGTAAATTTTGAAAGTAACTTGATTCTTTAAATAACAATTACATTGTTAGGCCACTAGGTGGTGAGTGACAAGTGTCTGTTTAATGTCGTTGTCATTTAATAATTTATTCAAGAGATTAAACGAAATTGTGATTCTCAATTTATCCAAAATCATTTCAAAATGCTACACATGCTCTGACCTAAAATAACTGGTTCTATAGGTTTAGTATCTTTATGTAAATGTAGTAGTTTATTGTATGCTAATATGCAGATATACTAATGCGTTTTTTTTTTTTTTTTTGCAGAATCAGCAGAGAGCAGTAAATCAGAAAACCATGTAGGGGATGAATTATAACATCTGGAGTTCTGAAAGGTTTTCTTTTATTATTTATTGACTCCATTAGGTGGTTCAAAATAAAAAAAATTCTGCCCCACCCTCAACAAATTGGAACAGTTTAAAAATGACAGTGTACATTTCATAGTTCATGTTCAGTGACCCTGAGCCAAAAGAAAATACCCAACCCAACTCATGGCTGTGTGCTCCTTCCATTCACATTTAATTTAGCTTCTTAATCCATGAATTATTAATCTTCTCCCTCTCAGAAACCCCCCATCTGTTTTGGAAATGGAAATCAAAAATGGCATGCTTGACCAAAGCAAACACACTGTCCTTTTTATTATATGTAGGCTACATGGGAGTCATTTATGCAGCTCAGCTGAAAATGGTCATTTGTCATGCCCTCCTTTGCGTCCAGATATTGAGGAAATGTGAAGTTCCTGCTGAATTGTCTTGCTTAATTGTCTCATCGTGTTCGTTTTTGCTAGTTTACCTTTTTCCGTGTAGCCCATTCCCAAAACAATCCGTTCGTACCTGTGAGCATCTATGCCAAACATCTCCTGTATTTATGGACTTGAGTAGGATTAGTCTGCTGCACTGACATCAAAGGAATTTCACTTGGCTGAAAGTGGAAATTGTTTCTGTTTTTTTTTTTTTTGCTTTCACGTCTTCGCTGATTTTGGCATTCACATGTTTTCATGTGCAAGTCTGTGTGGAGAGGGAAAATACGTGGAAAAGGGAGAAGATTGTTTCTAAAAATGTTAATAAAGTCTCTTTTTTTTTTAAAAGTTCTCTGCACATTGTGTAATATCTTCTCATTGTTTTGACATAATATTTATATACTATATGTCATGCATTATAATCCATTAAAGGGATAGTTCACCCAAAAATGACAATTCTGTCATTTACTTATCCTCAAGTTGTTCCAGACCGGTATGTATTTCTGCCTTCTGCTGAACACAAGAGAAGTTATTCTGAAGAATATGGGTAATCAAACAGTTGATGGCCCCCATTGACTTCCAGAGTATGTTTTCTTCTTCTCCATACTCTGGAAATCAATGGCTTCCGTCAACTGTTTGGTTACCCATATTCTTCAGAATAACTTGTGTTCAGCAGAAGACAGAAATTCATACAGGTTTGGAACAACCTGATGATTTAAATGATGACAATCTTCATTTTTTATGAACTTGCCTTAATATGGTTTCAGATTCTGATCTGATCTCAGATCTGATTGTAAATGTAGTTACATGAGTCCATGAAAGCCAGTGTTTACAACTGTAACTTAAAATTTATTTGTTTTGCTTTAATCAGACATAAAATTACAACAACATTAGCAAAATACTTTTTTACAAGAATGCCCTCACACAGAAAACCCCAAAATGCGTATATAAATGAAATATAGTTCAATACCTAAATTAAACATGGCATGCAAAAAAAAAAAGTATGTTGAATCTTAACCATTCAGGAGACTTTTACTGTAAGCCACAGATCTATTTATAATATTGGTTTGGTGAGATTTTCTTATTGCGACATCTACTCATCATCCCATTCCTATCCTCTTGAACTACAGGTCAGTGCAGAAGCCATTTCTAGAGTGTCTATGCGAACAGCTTTAACTGTGGCAAGCGAACCCTGACAGAGTACAGAAATGGGATCTCTGTTTGAGAGATGTCAGTGAAAAAGGGTTGATTTGTCTACTTTGAACTTGTCCCTGCGGATCTTGTAGACAAGCACAGCCAGCATGATGATGCACAGCGCTCCGAATACCCCCGCTGCCACAGAGATGCCCACCACTGCCTCCGCTGACTTCTCATCCTGAGACGCTGCACAAACATCAGAACAACTAACTGACCTGAGCAAAAGCACACAGCTAACAGAAGGTTGAATTAAATCTCTAATTCAAATTTCGGTATCACTTTATATTGGGTGTCTTCTATTACTATGTATTTGTGTTCATGTTGTATTGCAAAATACTTACGGCTGTTGTGGTGGGATACTGGTAAGCTTATGGATCGGTTTGGTGGTATGGTTAGGTTTAAGAGTGGTGTAAGGGAAGGATATAGGCAGTTTATATATATATATATATATATATACAAAAAAGTGATGTAAATGATTCATTTAAATCTTAGTACATAGTGGTTAAAGACACTTAATATAAAGTGGGACCTATATTTCTTTTATAAATGTCAGAAAACATGCATACCTGCTGCAACAGGGGCAAATGGTTCTAAAAGGATCATAAAAAGAAAATTTAAATGAGTTCCAACACATGGCATTATATGGTCAAAATACATAAAATCAATACATATTATCTCCAATTTATTCATGCATATTGCATGCATGTTATTGAACTGAATTGAGCTGAATAATGATTTTATTGTCCTCTGTAGAGCTGCTTATGGCTGAAATGAACTCATTTCTTAAAGGTAGGGTAGGCAATTTTCAGAGAGGCTAACAACAGCGAGCTAGCTTTGAAACCGTAAGATCCCACCCTCCACTTAGAGCATCTCCAAAACCATGCTTCCTTCAAAACATGTACAACAGGGAGCAAACAATAGTGTCACGAGAGACGGCATTAAACTACCTCATGTCTCAAAGCACATAACAAAACTAAATAATGAACATGAACAACTCCAAGACGGCATCTGAAAGTTGCGGCTGGTCGTCATTTTGTGTGTAAATGTACAATGTTATTTAAATTTTGTGTGTAAATTTTGATCAACGGTTTCCATTTATGATGTCATTTCTAGCGAGAGATTACTATTGTAGTCATTAAATATTCACTTAGTTTTCACCAAAGCTCGCTCTATTTTGCTGTAGGTTATTAAACCATTATGCTGCCTCAGAAGTTTGTCTGAAATCAGTTCTGTGAAGTACCTTCGTGTGCAGACGCTGCCTTCAAAGTCATTGCCAAATAGGGCAGCGAGGCAAATGTCAGCTGCCTACGCTTCATGAGACACACACGCGCATTTGCACACACACGTAAGGTCTCTCGCTCTCTCCCTTTCTGCTGTACGCGCGCTGCACGGTTTGGAGCTCGCGAGCTCTAGATTCCGAGAGATTTGAACTAATTTGCGGGCATCAGGAGCCGCTATCAATATGCGGGAGACTCCTGGAACTTCCGGGAGATTTTGGCTATCTGTGAACGCATACCTCGCTGTCCAATCATCTTTGAAAACTCTATTTTCTTCGTCAACTTTTCTTTTCCTGGACAATGACATCCTCCACTCCACACCCATTCAAACGCTTACGCCGGGAAGTGTTGCGTCGTGGTCGCGCCCGATTACGTCAAAAGTCACACGCTCACTGGATGTCATGGCAACTAAATCACGGAGGAAAACTTTAAATATCTCGCCTTCGTTTTAATTTTGGACCATCATAAAAAATAAACAAATGATTTTAACATGCGTTTATCAAAATAGGAAATCCAGACTTTTAATCCCTTACACACAATTAGGGCTCTTGAAATACGAAATGGAGGCGGGTCCGGATTGAATTTGCATCCGGACTTTGAGAAGCACTGACCATTATAAAAACAAAGGCAACTTGACTTATTGAAATGATTTCTCTCCAACATCTGATTGCTCTTACCATCCACTTTGGTGATGATTGGTCCAGAGCTCACCGTAGCGACGTCACTCACTGAGGTTCCCTGAGCTGACTGGACTTCTCTCCTCTTCCTCGTTGTGCAATTCTGATGCATGTCATACAATACATTTGAATACACTTCAGTTAGATGATGGCGTATGTGGCCCTCTCTTGTGAATGACATATTGAGTATTTTGGTGGTGCATGTTGTTTCATACCTGCCGTAGGGATCTACAGAAAGAGCTCTCGCAGAGCCTGGTGGTACAGTGCAGATAAAAGGTCGAAACTGTCCTGTTTCTGTGCTCTATAAAGCGAAAGGTCTCGAACGAGAAGCGCGCCACCTGCTGTTCTCCATTCACACCCATAATGGTTTGAAGATCATGGGTACATCTGAGAATGACCGAAATAGGCTACTTACAATCAGAATACTGTTCGTTTTTTATTGGTTGCATATTAATCATAATTTATTGATTCTTCGTAATATATATATATATAAACTCACCTAAAGGATTATTAGGAACACCTGTTCAATTTCTCATTAATCCAATTATCTAATCAACCAATCACATGGCAGTTGCTTCAATGCATTTAGGGGTGTGGTCCTGGTCAAGACAATCTCCTGAACTCCAAACTGAATGTCAGAATGGGGAAAAAAAGGTGATTTAAGCAATTTTGAGCGTGGCATGGTTGTTGGTGCCAGACAGGCCGGTCTGAGTATTTCACAATCTGCTCAGTTACTGGGATTTTCACGCACAACCATTTCTAGGGTTTACAAAGGTGTGAAAAGGGAAAAACATGCGGCAGTCCTGTGGGCGAAAATGCCTTGTTGATGCTAGAGGTCAGAGGATAATGGGCCGACTGATTCAAGCTGATAGAAGAGCAACTTTGACTGAAATAACCACTCGTTACAACCGAGGAATGCAGCAAAGCATTTGTGAAGCCACAACACGCACAACCTTGAGGCGGATGGGCTACAACAGCAGAAGACCCCACCGGGTACCACTCATCTTCACTACAAATAGGAAAAAGAGGCTACAATTTGCAAGAGCTCACCAAAATTGGACAGTTGAAGACTGGAAAAATGCTGCCTGGTCTGATGAGTCTCGATTTCTGTTGAGACATTCAGATGGTAGAGTCAGAATTTGGCGTAAACAGAATGAGAACATGGATCCATCATGCCTTGTTACCACTGTGCAGGCTGGTGGTGGTGGTGTAATGGTGTGGGGGATGTTTTCTTGGCACACTTTAGGCCCCTTAGTGCCAATTGGGCATCGTTTAAATGCCACGGCCTACCTGAGCATTGTTTCTGACCATGTCCATCCCTTTATGGCCACCATGTACCCATCCTCTGATGGCTAATTCCAGCAGGATAATGCACCATGTCACAAAGCTCGAATCATTTCAAATTGGTTTCTTGAACATGACAATGAGTTCACGGTACTAAAATGGCCCCCACAGTCACCAGATCTCAACCCAATAGAGCATCTTTGGGATGTGGTGGAACGGGAGCTTCGTGCCCTGGATGTGCATCCCACAAATCTCCATCAACTGCAAGATGCTATCCTATCAATATGGGCCAACATTTCCAAAGAATGCTTTCAGCACCTTGTTGAATCAATGCCACGTAGAATTAAGGCAGTTCTGAAGGCGAAAGGGGGTCAAACACAGTATGATTTCCATTGCACGAGAGTAGATGTTAAAACTTCATGCTGATTTGTACTCGGCTTTCGCCAAGATAAGCAAAACTAAGACGTAGCTTTACAGTAAACTATGATTCTCCATCCATTTACGCTTCTTTCCATATGGTGGTGTGACTCCCCTTCTGTCCGGCGTTAACGACTGCAGTGTACTTGGCGCGTCAGCACACGCGACGGCTGCAACTACAGGACCAGCACGACAACCGTCTGGATTGAGCAGAGTAGGGGACATCTCTAGGGTCTTCAAGTGGGCACCTTCCGTCCTCAGTGTTTCGTCGACTAGCCCACGACACCTCAAGAGGGCTCGACAGTGACTCTGGCGTCCCAGAGTCACCCCCCTCCGTCCCCCACTCAACTCAGTCCAGCTTACTGACCTCTACATCCCTCCTGCTGCTGAGACCTAACCACAATCTCTCTGCAACCCGACCATACGCGCCAACCCGTTTGACTAAGGCTGTCGAGCCCCCCTGGTGCATTAATATGCAGTTTCAGTGGACAACGGTTCCGTATGGCATACCACCTACCGCAAAACACAATATCTGCCCAACCACCCGTCATTCACGCAATATCCACAGGAACGTATACAAATAAACCAACAGACTCTTCAAGTTTTCAAGAATTCTACGAAACCGTAGCGTGGCGGCCTGCACACAGCCAGCTAGAATCTTTCCGTCTCAACCACAGCCAGTTGCTGCTTCTTTCTGCTGCTTCAGATAAGTTCTTTACTGTGCGACGCAACTCTTGGCCGCTGAATCCGATGTCTCTTGAGGAACCGGGTTGTGGAGTGTGCCACAAAGCCTCGACAACCCACTTCCACTGGATAAACCTGGACTCTCCATCCTCGCTGTTCTGCTTCAGTGGCCAGATGAGCATACCGCAGTTTCTTCCTCTCATATGCCTCATCTACCGCATCCTCCCATGGCACTGTTAACTCTATCAGTTGAACAATGCGTGCTGATCCAGACCACAAAACAATATCTGGTCGTAGGTTAGTGGTGGCAATCTCAGGTGGAAAAATAAGTCGTTGATCAAGATCAGCCAGCATCTTCCAGTCCCTAGCAGCTTCCAGTTGTCCTGGGCGAGAATTGGTGTTAACACCTTTTCTTGGTGGTTGCTCGCCTGGGCGGAGGAATATTGTCTTCTGCGTGTAATGTCTTGGTAGAACAGTTGGCAACTTATTGGTCATGTTACGCTTGCCTTCTAATGCTAAAGCCAAACATCGCAGTACTTGGTCATGGCGCCAAGTAAACCGACCTTGGCTAAGAGCCACCTTACATCCTGTCAAGATGTGCCTTAATGTGGCAGGTGATGAACACAAAGGACAAGATGGATCCTCTCCTACCCAGAGGTTTAGGTTCTGCGGTGATGGGAGAACATCATATGTTGACCTAATAAGGAAACTGATCCTACTCTCTTCCACTGACCAAAGGTCTTGCCAGCCCATCTTACGTTGTTCCACACTCTCCCATCTCACCCACTCTCCCTGCTTGGCCTGGGAAATGGCCTTTATATACCTCATCCTCTCCTCCTGCTTACGCACCTCGTTGACTACCAGCTTCCTCCTTTGAGCTGGGCCTGCCTTGTGCCATTTAGGAGGAGCTAAACTGAGCCCAAAACCCCCTCTTCCATGCTGTACCTGTCCCACGATATCCCCAATTTGAAGGGCAGCCTTTGCCTCTACTACAGATTTCTTTGCTGACCACTTTTTACCAGTTTTTAACACAGGGGCTGCCTCCCTTACACATTTGTCGCGTGACTCTACTAAGGTCATTTCCAGTCTGACCTTGGCACACTTAAACTCCTCAGTTAACGCAGAGACTGGCAGCTGCAATATTCCTTTACTATAAAGTCCCACTCTGCTGAGGCAGCGTGGAACTCCCAACCATTTCCTGATGTATGAACTTATCAACGCTTCCAGCTTATCCACTGTTGTCAAAGAAACGGATCAGTATGGTGTTCCTAATAATCCTTTAGGTGAGTCTATATATATAAAAATATTATTATTATATATATATATATTTTTTAAATTAACTATTTTTTACATTCACGCTAATTTTTCGCAGAAGCCCTGAACCGCAACGTAAAATCTAGCTAGGCTACGAGTCAACGTGCCACGTAAAGTTTGGGCCAGGAGGATTGTGGTACCTACTCCGGCGTAGTCTTCGTGCTCGTCTAGGCGAGGTATATTTCGACTTTATTCTCAAAATATTTCGACTTTAATCTCGAAATGCTAGAATTTTCTTTTCTTTTTTTACGTTGCGGTTCAGGGCTTCAGTATTTCTTCTCTCTTTTGACCTAATATACACTCACCGGCCACTTTATTAGGTACCCCATGCTAGTAACGGGTTGGACCCCCTTTTGCCTTCAGAACTGCCTCAATTCTTCGTGGCATAGATTCAACAAGGTGCTGGAAGCATTCCTCAGGGAGTTTGGTCCATATTGACATGATGGCATCACACAGTTGCCGCAGATTTGTCGGCTGCACATCCATGATGCGAATCTCCCGTTCCACCACATCCCAAAGATGCTCTATTGGGTTGAGATCTGGTGACTGTGGAGGCCATTTTAGTACAGTGAACTCATTGTCATGTTCAAGAAACCAATTTGAAATGATTAGAGCTTTGTGACATGGTGGAAGTAGCCATCAGAGGATGGGTACATGGTGGCCATAAAGGGATGGACATGGTCAGAAACAATGCTCAGGTAGGCCGTGGCATTTAAACGATGCCCAATTGGCACTAAGGGGCCTAAAGTGTGCCAGGAAAACATCCCCCACACCATTACACCACCACCACCAGCCTGCACAGTGGTAACAAGGCATGATGGTTCCATGTTCTCATTCTGTTTACGCCAAATTCTGACTCTAACATCTGAATGTCTCAACAGAAATCGAGACTCATCAGACCAGGCAACATTTTTCCAGTCTTCAACTGTTCAATTTTGGTGAGCTCTTGCAAATTGTAGCCTCTTTTTCCTATTTGTAGTGGAGATGAGTGGTACCCGGTGGAGTCTTCTGCTGTTGTAGCCCATCCGCCTCAAGGTTGTGCGTGTTGTGGCTTCACAAATGCTTTGCTGCATACCTCGGTTGTAACGAGTGGTTATTTCAGTCACTGTTGCCCTTCTATCAGCTCGAACCAGTCTGGCCATTCTCCTCTGACCTCTGGCATCAACAAGGCATTTCCGCCCACAGAACTGCCGCTCACTGGATGTTTTTTCTTTTTCGGACCATTCTCTGTAAACCCTAGAGATGGTTGTGCGTGAAAATCCCAGTAGATTAGCAGTTTCTGAAATACTCAGACCAGCCCTTCTGGCACCAACAATCATGCCACGTTCAAAGTCACTCAAATCAACTTTCTTCCCCATACTGATGCTCGGTTTGAACTGCAGGAGATTGTCTTGACCATGTCTACATGCCTAAATGCACTGAGTTGCTGCCATGTGATTGGCTGCTTAGAAATTAAGTGTTAACGAGCAGTTGGACAGGTGTACCTAATAAAGTGGCCGGTGAGTGTATTTACCTGAAGAACCCTCTGAGATTTTAAGTTAATAATTTAACATCACATTCACAGTTCTCTGATATCAGTTCGTGATCACATGACATGCAGGTAATCAAATAAAATATTAACTTTTCATAAGTGTTTAATTTTTATTAAGTTTTTATTTGTGTATTTTAATTTGACTTTTTTATGATTTAAGTATTAT